CCTTTCTATCCTCGGCCTCTATCTTCTTGGCTTCAGCAACCTTCCTTATGGCCTCGGCTGATTCAGCTTTTTCCTCGGCTATCTGTTGGGCCTTAGTTGCAGCCTCGGCCTGCTCTTCCAGCTTCTTCATTTTTAGTTGAAGACCTTTGTTGGTCTTCTGCAGGGCAGAAAACTCCTTCTTCATCTCGGTCATTCTTTCCCGATTCTTAAAAGATTGCATTGAAAACGAATGGGCATGCTGGATGGTCTGAAAGAAAACAGAAGTGTTGGAAAATATTTTAAGTATGAAATAGAAAGAAAGTCAAAAGTTCAAAGCAGGAGCACTTACTTGAACGGAGTGCTGGAGCATTAAAGCGTAGTTCTCATACTCACTGTACTCAGCATTTCGCTCCAGGTCCCCTGAAATGAGAAGAGCAGTGCTGAGGGCGACGCTGACATTAATATCATCGGCGCTTTCACTAGACATGATTGGCCTGTCCTCCAAAGTAATCTTTGGGGCCCAGGGGACGTCGGGTTTTTTGGACGCTGAAGCCGTTGCAGAGGACGACCTCGCTTTCTTTGACTTTGAAGATTCTGCTGGCTGTGTTTCAGCCGACCTTTTCATGGAAATAGAAACAGTCTTCTCACTCCCAGCCAATTGTGAAATTGGCAGAGTATCTTCAGTCTCAACTACAGTGGCTTTGGCCTTTGGCTGAGCCTTTTTGGTTCTTTTTGGCTTTGGTGGGGGTATGGATTGGGTTGGTTTAGCATCAGCATCAACTGGGAGGTCGGCTAAGAGATCTTGGGCAACAGGCTTCGGGTGACCCATCTCAGCAGTTTTGACAAGTCTTCGCCGACGTTTTCTTTCGGATATTGTGACCAAGTATGGAGCTAAAGTTGATGGTTGATCGGCTAGATCAAAGGTTGACCCTTGGTCAGCCTGAGATGTTGATGCGGTTTGTAAAGTGGTAGCAGAGGGAGGAGATAAGCTCTTCTTCTTTCTTTTTGGGACGTCGGGCAGTGTAGACTTGTATGTCGGAATAAAATTCAGTACCAGTGGAGCCTTGCGCTTTTGGATTGGCAGATCTAGGAGCCGCTTTAAGTCTTTGCTGGGAACGTAGGATTGGCGAAAGTCTTTTGGTAACTTACGAACGTCTACAAGAAGAAACAAACATTAGAAACAGATAAAATATTGAAGACTTGAACAGAAACAACTAAAGTATTGACACTGGGCTCTTACCCTTGCCCTCTTTAATTGATCGGGGAAGAGGGTAGAGATGGGCATCCTCGTCTGCGCCAAACTCCCAATTTCCCGAAGCAATAACATAGTCATCTCCAGCCCCCTTGTTGGAGTCTGGGAGGTCGGCTACGATTTTGAATTCAGTGGACCTCGGCTTGAGGTAGTAGACGTAACCTTTTTCCTTCAGGCTAAGGGGGCACATGGTGTAATAATACTGTATGTCGGCTAGGGTGATTCTAACGTTTTCTTGTCTGGCTAAGGCGATAATACCGAAAATCACTCGATAAGAGTTTATGGCAAGTTGCATAGGGTTCAACTTGTAAAAGTGAAGAATTTCGCGAAAGAGAATGTTAAGTGGGAGCCGGAGTTCGCACTCAATAAAAGCTACTATAGGAAAGGGCATTGAATCATCTGTGGGCATGATAGAGTCATTATCTTCAGCCAGCCTCAGATGGACATCGGCAGGAATAGAAAACTCTTGCCTAAAATACTCAAGTTTGGTCGGGTTGTTTACCTTATGTCTCCATATACCCATAACGTCGGCCTAAAATCAGAGGGCTAGGTTTCAGAAAGAAGATGCTCTTAAGGGGTTATCAGGACCTCGGCAAAACCCTAGGTATATATTGGTAAGGATTGTTTCAGTTTTTTCCTAAGAATTGACAGGTTCTATAGACAAATCCCAAACCTAAATCTATGGGGGCAAAGATTGAAAGCGAAAATTGAAGGCAGAGATCTGGCAAAGACACAAAAAATAGAAAACAAAGGCAAAATTTTAGAAACAAGAACAGGGATGGGCTATCAAGAACATGAAGAATATGAGAAATTAAAGTACCAAGATCAGTGGCAAAAATACAGTGGCGTAGTGCAACGGTGCATGTGTTCAAGAGATAGCCAAGGGCCAAATCAAAGAGTAAACACATTCAGATGAATGATTCACAAAATAGATATTTGAGCAAGGCAGTAATAACAGGAGATTCCAGAAATGGCCAAGAATTGAAATCAGAAGGAACAGTTGCTTACCAAAGAAATTGAAGCCGAAATAGAATTTGCCGAAGATAGACGATGATTACTGAAGTGCCAGAGTGGTAAAAGCTTCACCAGAAAGACGAACGAAGACGGTTACAGAACTTGGAGCCTTAGCAATGGCGAATTCAAGAAGCAAGGGCTTTAGAGAGAGAATAGCAAGTAAAACGAATACAAAGGTAAGGAAAAAATGAAAGAAGAAGGAAGAGTTTTTGTCAAAAACCAAAAACGGCGGCAAAGATAATCAATGCGCCTGGAGCAGCGCATACGTCAGGCGGCGTACGCAGGAAAAACGTGGTTTATAAACGCGTCACAAACAAGGACCAATAAGGTAAAAACGCGTAAGTGAAACGGTTGAGAAGTGATGCATGACAGCTCATGCGCGTGGGAAAGTGCATTTGAGTTCTTGTTCTTGAAAACAAGGCATATCGGCTTGAAAACCTCGGCCAAAGAGTTCTTACGCCGAGGTACTAAGAAGATAATACATATATAGGTTCCATTACCTCAGAATGCCAAGGAAATAGAACCTAGGGGGCAGTTGTGGAGATATATTTTCTGAGTACCAACACGTGGCCGAGGTAATAGAACCTAGGGGGCAGTTGTGGAGATGTATTTTCTGAATACCAACACGTGGTAAGGTGACGCTGACGTGTCAGCCGAAGTGCCACGTGTCCAGGTTGTGACGCCGAGGTTATCTCGTCAAGGCCGAGGTTATCTCCGAAGATATCGGAATCCGAGATAAGCGGATAAGGGACAAGAGTCCTAAGATAAAGAGGAGATTTTGCTAAGATAAGGATAAAGCTCTTAGGGAGTTTATCTTTATCTCTTGAGGAATCCAAAGTAAGTACTAAATTGGAGTCCATAGAAGTCAGGCTTCTAGTAGGACTTGGATTGAGTAAACTATAAAAGAGAGGCACCCCCGTGGGTCTAAGGTACACAGTTTTATACTCAAGCTTGTGAGTTTAGCACTTGATTATCTTTGAGAGATATACTGACTTGATCGTCGGAGTGCCCCCGTGTGGAAGAGCCACCGCCGGAGCCTTTTCTTTCTGTTACAGGTTTGCTAAAGCCATTTATTCTGCCGGTGCTCTCTAGCTGATTACTAGGCAGGCAGTGTGGTCAGAAAATTACCCACACACTTAAATTAGAACCCATATTGAATTGCATACTTGCATAAAACATCATGAAATTCTTCAGCACCTTCTACAAACCGCTGTCCTACGTGTGTAATACCATCAGCCCAAGGGGTGGACAATAATTTCTTCTCCTTATGGTGGCAAAATCTCCAGAGTGCGTCCATTTTTTCCTTATCCCCCCTTTCCTCCCCACACGCAGCGACCCAGAGCTATTAGACTAACCAACTTCACTTTTCAATTCAACAACAATCTTTACATGTTGAACCCCCATTGATTTGGCAAGCAAAAACATAATTTGAAGCTCATCATCATTGTCCAAAGTACACTTATTAATCCCAAGTAGCCGATAGCACAATAAAACACAATCAATAGACAATTCATTCCATTTTTCACACATACACTCCACGAAATATGAATAAGATAGCGCTCGTATCACATTGATTACAGTAGTACTACACCCATATGAGCACACCAACAACATGAAAGTATCCATCTTTTGTAAAAATACAAAAACAAGGAAGTGAACAACCACGTTATAGCCAATGATATGTGAACATTTACATTGTTTACATAATCTGAATTATCTAACCAAATAGAGATGACACACCAAATACCACAAAAATTGTATGAAAACGATCACAAAATAATAAGAAAAAATAAACCAATCAACCGGAAACAACATTGCACCAATGATCCATCACAATCAATTTGTTCAGACAATTGTACATGCATTTCTGTCAAATATCTGAAAATCAAACAACAAAAACATACATGCATTACCAATAAAATTCAGAACCTCATTCATCAAACATACACTTGTATCACCCATGTATTCTAGAAAATGCACATGATTCAAAAACATAGCATGAAATCCTTCACATAAATGAACATGCACTCGTAAACAAAATGATACTAACCTTAAGAAAGAAATTCTGTAATCGTTCTCCAACCTCGATCAATGATTGATCTCCAAAAATTATATAACAAACCAGAGCACACACAAACACCAAACTACGAAAACGAACACATTTATGGATAGAAACCTGTCGTTGTCGTCGCCTTCTCTCCCACTATATAGAAACCTGTCGTCGTCTTCTCTCCATTGCACCAAAACCCTACTAAAATGAAACCCTACCATAAATGATCGACATTGATTAACTGAATCAGAATCATCAATGTGAATAACGCTAACAAACAAAACAAAAACGTGTATTTCTTTTTTTATGTATATTACGTATCAACATAATATATAGCGGTGTAATAGTTCAAAAAAATATAAAATTAAGAAAAAAAACACCTCATGAAATAAAAGTACAAACATATGGGACTGGGTAAATTATAAATTTTCTTCCTAAACTTATTGAGTTAGAACACTTCTAAATAAAATTTATCAATAAAAATCCCCGCTTTATATATACTTGGGCCGTTACTATGGCCCAATGTACCACAATTATGAACCATTATTAGGTTTCTTGACCATTGTTAGGTTTCTCTTGGTATTTTGTTTTCAATATCCTAAAAATTTCATAACGGATGTCACAGTCTTGATTGGCCTAGCCCACCGTTTCTCTCAAACTTGATAGGGACACCCGGAACAACTCCATTAGCGGCCCCAAATCCTTATCTTCTCTCTCTCTCTCTCACTCTCAATTCCATATAACTTATACATATATATGTATATCCTCATGAATGGCTATAACATAACATAACATAACATATTCATATTCATATTCAGTTTCCTCTAGGTTTTACACACTCTGTTGATGGACTATTGCCTCTCCTACAACATACCTTTCGTCCTGGAATCTTTACCCTCCGCGGTGAAGAAGAACACTTTGAAGTCATCGTCCCAAGGGCTTCGCAGACTCGTATCCACAAACAACAAACTCCACTTCTTCGGCGATCGGCGATTTAAGCGGAGAGCGTTGATTGCGGTGGCCAGTGCTGACTGTGAATTCAGCAGCTTGAACACGCCGCTCGAGCCAAAGTCGTTTGCTGGGAAGTTTCTGAGCCGTGTATTACAGAATGACCTTGATTACTTTCATGTTGCTGTTGGTAAGCAGTTGGAGCAGTTAGCCGCTGATCGGGATGAAGCTGTTGCTCGCATGAATTTAAGCTTGGCTTCTGATGAAGCCGCTCTTCACAGGTTTGTGCTTTCACTAGAAAAAGTCAAAAAATAAAATGGAGAGATACTTTTGTTGAATTTAAAACCTTTTTTTTTTTTTACTGAAATTTAAATAAATTTTAGCTGTTACTTTTCACTCTCTTTAGCATTTTTCATATATAGATGTTGGATTCTATGTATTTTTGTTTGTGTTAATGTCAATTTTTCAAATTATCGCTTGCATACCTGTGGCTAATTAATTGTTTTGGTCTCTGGCAAATTAACATGGGGTGATTCTTGAACAAACCTAACATTGAATTAGGGAAACACCCATATGTTTGATAGGGGAATTAAGGGGGATTGGACTCACAAGCCATGTTTGATAAGGGGATTGGAGTTGGGAGTGGGATTGCTAAAACTTTAGGGCCCACATGGGTCCAATGTGCTTTATTGTTGTTGTCTCCTAATACCATGTTTGGTTGGCAAAAATGAGTGGTATTACTAATCCAGAACTTAATCCTATGGTTTGCGAAGGCTCACGCTCACCCCATTGGAAAATCAAGTAGCTGATCTTATTATCGACTTACAAAAATCCGAACGTGTGAGGATACCCTCACCTTCTAAGTTCCAACGGATTGTCGAAATGCTTGAAGAAGAGTATGGTTTGGACAAGCTGCTAACTATTATCGGAGGATGATGTCCCTCAGGACTTACAGTAGCTTCGGTTGTAGAATCTCGTGCAAGTTAGACTGTGGTTGTATTGGCTGCAAGCAGAATGTAGGCTTTTTAGATGTCTTTAGTCAATACTTGTGATGGAGAAAATACCAATTCAAATTGAATGGACGAGTGCTGTCTCCTTTGACAACAGTCTCAAAGAAGCAAAGTGGGACCGATCTAGGAAGCAGGGTTGATTTGGGACAACTTTCGTCCCTTGTTCTTAATGCTTAATTTGAAGTTGACTTTACTCGGTATTGATTCCCATGGTATTACTAATCCCAAATAGTGCCAAAAAATCTAGGGCTTGTTTGGTTTGTATTTGAGAAACATGTTTTGAGATAAAAAGTACGAAAATTTGTTTGGTTTGGTTTTTTTTCAAAAGATGTTTTGAAAAATTATTTTGAGAGAGTTTTGAAAAAAGTGATTGATTTGATGTGTATGAGAGAGAGATTTGCTTGGAAAACTTGTAAACCAAACAAGTTTTGGAAAAAAAATTTGGGAAAATTTGTTTGGTTTGGCTACTTTTGAAAACTTATTTGTAGAGAATTTTTTCCAAAATTTTTTGAGAAACACAAACCAAACAAGGCCCTAATCTCCCTACCAAACACGGACTATGTCATGGATTCAAGTACGAGTATCGGGTTCGGGTATGTATCTAAGCGTCATACCTTCATAAATTTAAATCTTAGGATATTAGGATATGTATCGAAAATAGGATACGGTTACAGACACTCATTATGGACACATATATTACATATTATATAATATTCATAGATTTTTTTTATTTATTTTTAGATGGGATTCATAGATTAAAATATTGTAAATTATGTAGAAATATATTTGAAATTAAATAAGATTTGGAAAAAGTTGTGAAATTTTTATCTATGTTCGGTTATAAATGTTTATTTTTTAGCAAATGTGAGTTTCTTATTCTTCAAATGTTGTAAAAAGTTGAAGAATCCAAATGTCTAAATTAGATACGGGTGTCAGACACATATTCCACACCCTCATTCTTGTCATATCTGGTGGGATGGCATGGGTACTTTGGGGGCATAGAAGAGTCATGTAACATTGAACACATCCATTGGGGTTGTTTGTTGCAGCTTCCATAAGCTGATTATAGCTTATTTTAATCTAGTAGTTTGTGCCAGACTATTTGGTACAGCTTGTGCTTATAACTTATTAGTAAGGTTATGAAAAGTGGTTGCGGTCGCTGTAACGGTGGCGGTGGAGCGGTTGCGGTTGCGGGGTGTAAAGGCCGTAGCGTAACGGTTGCGATAACCGGAACCGTGAATTTTTTCATTTTTTCATTTTTAGCATAATTTGAAAAAAACTTACCGATACGCACATTTTTTTTCCATGATCATATTTATTGGGTTTTAAAATAAATATTGATTAATTTTTATAAATTTTTTAGTTTGATCCAATATATTTTATATTTTTAAATCATTACAAACTGAGTTTTTTACATTTTATTTTAATAATTAATGACTTTATATTATATAAAAAATCAATCACTAACTATTATATATAAGATAAACAATGACAAAAGTAAGAGAATAAATAAAAGCTTAAATATATATATATATATTAATCAAACCAAATAGATAATGACCACACTTATTGTTATTATCATTATTATTATTATTATTATTAAACAATATATAGATAGACACACACAAATAAAATGGTTGAGTGATAGCAGCTGAATATAATAGTATAAGCCTTACAGCTTCAACGAATCAATAACATGTTCTTCATCTTCCCTCTTCTCTCTCTCTATCTCTTGTTCCTCCATCTTCCCTCTTCTCTCTCTATCTCTCTTCCCCATTTTCAACCTTTTTTTTTTTTCGAAAAAAGCAATTCGAAACCGTTACGTAACGATGCGTAACAGGCCGTTACGGCATCGTTACGACCGCTATAGCAGCCACTACAGCCGATACACCTGTGAATCTCAATCACACCGTAAAAGCGGCCGTAACGGGTGGCGGTAACAACCACAACCGTTACGTAACAGCGTTACGTAACGGTTGCGGCCGCTTTTTAAAACCTTGCTTATTAGGCATAAATAGTTTAAGGCCTCGTTTGACATGTGCTTGTTTAGCCTAAAAATCAAAAAGTTACTAAAAAAATCAAAAAGTCTATAATTTATACCAAAAAGTCAAAGATTCTCTTTTCTCTCTACTTTTTGCACATCTTTTCGTAAAAAACCAAAAGGTCATTCCAAACATATTAGTTTTTTTATCTCATATTTTAGCCAAAAAGTCAAAAAGTTACTAAAATAGCCTGTTTCCAAACGAGGACTAAATAACCTCAAAAAACATGATTATTTGGAAGCTGGAAAAAAGTTGCTTTTAGGTTTTATTTTTTGATTACCAGTTTTTAACTTACAATAAGCTACACCAAACACTCCCATTGAGAAAACTCTGATAGATAAAATTCTTTGATTAAGGGATAACTTCTTTTTTTTTTTATTATGTAGGATTACAAAACTTAATTAATGATGGATATAACTTTCCAACGATAAAATTAGTGCTTTTTGACCCATTAGTGGTGATAACTATATACATAATCTTTTCTTGACTTTGGTAAAATAAAATAGTCAGAATAAAAATGAAATCTCCTGGCAGTTCACTTCATTCCCTTATGGACAAATGATTTCAAGTTGAAATGTAGAGGACTTCTCATAAAGCTTATGCAACCCGTCTTAAGTGGATGTTAGCAAAACATCTTTTGAAAAAAACCAAACCTAACAACTTTTCGTACTTTTTATCTCTAAAACACATCTCTCAAACACAAACCAAACATACCCGAAACCTCCTGGCAGTTCACTTCATTCCCTTATGGACAAATGATTTCAAGTTGAAATGTAGAGGACTTCTCATAAAGCTTATGCAACCCGTCTTAAGTGGATGTTAGTGTAGAATGAATTGATACAAAAGCATGGAAAGAAGAGGAAAGGGAAAGTAAATTCATTTTCCCCATCAAACTATCATATTTGTATCACTTCACCCCACAAACTATCAATTTAAACAGTTAGCCTCTTAAACTGTTGACACTAGTTTACTTCATCCTAAATTGATGCCCATCGGCACAGAAGTAATTAATTTAGGGTGTGAATCTCTTCACTTGAGCCTATAGTAGACAAATATCCATGTATCATGGAAAACCCAATTTTTTTGAAAATATTCAATAAAACACAAAATGCAATTAATATTAGCAAACTAATATCTCTGAATACAACTAAATTAGACAAATAACGTGCACAAATATTTTGTGTGCTGGCAGGTGTATTTTTTGTAAAATATATTGACTTTGTTGACAGTTTGTGATAAAGTGAACTAATGTCAATAGTTTAAGGGGGCTAATTGTTTAAATTGATAGTTCACCGAGTAAAGTCTAGGAAGAAACTCATTCTTGAGAAACGTTTCTTACTCAAAAACTCGATTCTATGCTCCTGCATAAGAAACTTTTAAGAAACTGGCTCCCAATTGAGATGGAACCTCACAAACATACAAATCTCAAATAAACAAAAGAATAACAACTCAATGTATTCTAGGACTTTAATATTTATTTATATTAAACAAAGAAAATTTGTAGATGACATAAATCTCTGATATGTATTCATATTTTAACACATAAATAAGTAGAAAAAATAATTACTAGAATATATTTATGAAAAGCATACAGACTGAAGTCATGACTTGATGTTTGTTAACAATATGTTTTGAAAAGCTAATCAAATTCAAGATATAAAAAAACTGATAAAAGATTTAGAAAAAATGTGAAATGTACTTGAAATTGAATAAGATTTTGAAAAAAATGTGAATTTTTTTAAAATCTATTTTAGGTTATAAATGTTTATTTTTTAGCAAATGTGAATTTATTGTTTTTCAAACATTGTGAAAAGTTTGGAGAATCCAAATGTCTAAATTGGATATAGGTGTTAGACACATATTCCATACCCTTATTCTTGTCATATTTGGTGGGCGTGGCCTGGGTACTTTGGGGCAATAGAAGGGTCCATGTAACATAGAACACATCCATTTGAGAAAACTCTGACAGATAAAAGTCATTGATTAAGGGATAATTTTTTTTTTTGTAGGATTACCAAACTTAATTAATGATGGACATAACTTTCCAACGATAAAATTAGTGTTTTTTGATAGTGGTGATAACTATACATATCTTTTCTTGACTTTGGTAAAATAAAATTATCAGAATAAAAATGTAACTTTCTGGTAGTTCACTTCACTCCCTCATGGACAAATGATTTTAAGTTGAAATGTAGAGGACTTTTGATAAAGCTTATGCAACCCCTCTTG